GGGGAACGTTTCTATTATATTTAAACATTTGGATAATGCAAGATAAAAAAAACCTACTTAAAATTCCTCTCCTCTCCTACACCCCATACAAACATCCACTTCATAGTGAAAATACCATGGAAGAAAAACCTTCATGAATAAATGTAAGATATGATGATGTGCCCAAAATTTTGTTGAAAAAAAATTTTTGGCATATCATAGAGATATCTGGTACCACAGAATTTAAAAAGTCAAATAGAGGCCTTCTACTATTTTTTATATGTTTGTTTTGTTTCATTTTTAACTTTATTTTATTTGTTTATATGAGGATTGAACCCAGTGTTTCACACATAGTAGGCAAGCATTCTACCACTGAACTACAGCCCCAGCCCATACTATTTTTTTTTAAGAGAGGAATCACTTCCTACTCTTAAAAGAGAAGAGATATGGTTCATGAATATCCTTTTCCTCTCAGTGAATCATAATTATCTTTACATGTAGAAATAAAATGCAACCACTTACAAGTATCATCAGTTAGGGCCGTAGGTTATAGGAAGATCCCTTTCAAAATAATATGTATGCTTATCAAATATATTTGAGACTACATGTATATTATACATGAAAATACATATGTATAGATACACATATACATACACAACACATAGGCATATACATAAAATAAAACTGACAAAACATTGATACTTGTTGAAGTTAGATGAAGTACATGGGAGTTTACCATCCTATTTCTCCTACTTTTTTATGTTTGATTAGTTTCAAAATGAAGAAAAAAGAGTAATATTTTAAACTTCTGTAAATCATTTGTATGATGATCTTCATATGAAGATCCTTAGAACAATGGGGTAAGAGTTTCTCTGCCAAGAGGTGATTCACTTCAGAAATATGAATTCAAATCAACCATTTAATCAACTGGGATTAAAAATCTGTTTCCCAAACAATTTGGAGATAACCTTTATCTAAATAAATAAAAAATAAGGAAAGAAAGAAGAAAGAAAATGAAAAAAAAGGAAGAGCCTAAAAGGAAGGTAGTTTATGTATATATATGGTTCTAAAGCTGGGCGTGATGCTGCACACCTATAATCTCAACAACGCAGGAGGTTGAGGCAGGAGGATCTCAAGTTCAAAGCCAGCCTCAGCAACTTAGCAAGATCCTGTCTCAAAATAAAAAATAAAACAGGTTGAGGATGTGGCTCAGTGGTTAAGGGCCCTGGGCTCAATCTCTAGTATGAAATAATAACAACAACAAATGGTTCTGAAGACGTCTATAAAATATTTCTGAAAGCATAACGCCTTTCCATTACACGGAAGTTGCATCACAACATTCTGTTTAGTGTGGCTGACTGTTATGAGTCAATATTACATCCCTGATTTTAGGACATTATGTCATAGTTTTGTACCTATTTATTATTTCTTTAGAGAACAAAGACTCTCTGCACTATAGTTTTGAGCTATTAAGGCAAATTTAGATTTTAAAATAAAAACAGTACGGCATTTAGATTAGTAAGGACCAAAATAGATAAATAAACATCTGACTTCCATTTCAATCTTAAGATTCAAATATTCTTTAATTTAATGTGCAAGATTGAACAGAAAGAGGTTTATCTTCATTAAAGTAACATTTGTATTGAATTCACACTTAAAATTTTCTTTTCTTTTTTTTTTTTTGTGTGTGTGTGTGTGGTGCTGGGGATCGAACCTAGGGCCTTGTGCTTACATGGCAAGCACTCTGCCAACTGAGCTATATCCCCAGCCCCACTTAAAATTTTCTATAGCTTCATTTTCAACAGAATTTATTTCTACAGTGTTAGTCAAAAAAATTAGAAATAAGGTTTTTGTTGAATGTTGTATGCCCTGTTCCCCACTAGATCCTTCCCATAAATGACACAAGCCCCAAATTAATCATGTTTATTCTCATCCTCATCTTCCACTAATCAATTAATCAATCAATAAAAATGAATGAAACAAGAAAAAAATGAATGGGGTAGAAGCTACCAAAGAATATACAAAACTGTTTTCAAGTACTTTGCAAAAGAGAGTAACTGAATAAGAATGGCTTACTTTACTTCATAAAAAGTTGGCAAAGAAGAAAAGAACAAATAGGAGAAAAGAACCTTTTGAAGGCAGGTTGGGGAATTGTGTTTTATTATTGTTTGTTTTATTTTTGGTAGGTAGAGAGAGTAAATGCTAGGGAAAACAAGATTGTAACAAAAAGTTTTATGAAGTTTTGAAGAGTGATCAGAATATGCTTATAGAATCCTGTATTATTTATTTTGGATGTGTTCCTAAATTGACATGAGTCTGAGGTTGAAATAAGTAGGCCCAGTATTATTCAGGTTTTAGATCTATAAAATGAACTTACTTTAAGTAACCTCAGTGTGTATTAATGGTGCTCCTTAAGGTTAACATTAAAACATTGATTTCATTATCAATGATTCAAATATTAAATAAGGTTAAATCAAAAGATTGACAAGAAATATTATCTATGGAATTCCCAACTTGCTCATTTATTTTTCCCCTAAATTCAGAACACAGTATAATGAAAAAATCATAGACAATGTTTTTAGTTAAAATAGCTCTTGTGTTCAGATCCACTACATACCAGTTGGATGATGATAGGCAAATCAAATTTAATGAACTATTCTTCTATATATGTAGTTTCAATGTCTAAATTCTTTTTTAGTTCTAGGAATTTTATTTAGTATTTTTTCAAAATTCCCTACTATCATTTGAAAATATGTTTTGTTCTCTATTTTTTTAATATATTTTGAAACATACCTACTTTATAGTCGATATCTAATGATTCTATTTCCTAAAGTTCTCAGGGGTCTAAACATATTATTTGTTGTCTTTAACTTATGATGAAGGATCTCCTCATGGGTTTTATGACTTTGAATTTTGGGTACTTTTTTTTTTTCATACAGGGGATTGAACTCAGAGGTGCTTAACCACTGAGCTATATCCCCAGCCCTTTTAAATATTTTATTTAGAGACAGGGTTTCGCTAAGTTGCTTAGTGCCTCACTAAGATGCTGAGGCTTGCTTTGACTTGTGATCATCCTGCCTCAGTCTCCCAAGTCACTGGGAATACAAGTATGTGCCACTCACTGTACCTTGTGGATTTTGAGTACATTTTAACAACAGTCTTATTTGTGAGAATCCTGCATATTATGTAAAAGGATTTATATTTTTGCATCTAGGCAATATAGAGTAACAGAGACTAGATTTACTTTCCTGCTTAAAACAACTAAAAATATGGACAACATTTATAATGTAAAAGTTTTCAAAGATAATAGACATTAAATAACAAAGAAAATAATTCCTGAGAGATGGAAAGCAAGTGAGGTAAACTCCACTGAGAGATGGGAAACAATTTAGTGTATCCAGGGAAGTGATATACAGGAAGAGCCTGGCAGTTTTTCTGAGATAACAAGGAGTAACTAGAAATTTGGAAATGCCAAGTGGGTTAGAATTTTTGGGTCAGAGTCTCAAGAAAGAGAAAGTTGAATAGAAAGAAAATATCAGAGATTTGTAAAAGGTACCCCTCAAGTCTATACACCTTAATGAAAAGTCAGAGATGACAGAGTTTATATAGAAGCAAAACCCAACTATATGAAATCTACAAGAAATGCATACTAATGATAAGATATAGTTGAAAGGTAAAAATGGAAACAAGATATACCATGGAAACTGTAATCAAAAGAATGTTGAAAATTAGATTTCAAAGAAAAGAATATTACCAGTGATAAAGAGGGTCATGTTTTAGAGTGATTTGGATTTGTTTCTGAGTAGTGTTGGCTTTTGTATCAATGGATATACAGAGGAGAATAGGCTTTAGACCCAGAAAAGGCAAACAGTTGCCTTTATAGCTGAGATTTTTTTGGTGTAAAGGTTTCCAGCCCCTACAGAGTGTGGAATATAATCTGAAAACTGAACGCTTGTTCTGATGGCAGTTTGAAGTAGAGGATTTGTTTTCTAATCTAGAATATAGTGCAATGAACAAGCTTTCCTATTGCCTGACGTGGGTGGGTTAATTTTTTTCTACTTCATTCTTTTCACTAGATTCCAGGGAGTCCATTTTTTTTGTGGAGGGTCTCAGTTCTAAACCTTTACCTTGCCTGATTCAGGCTTCAATTCTCAATGTATTTATGATTCCAGTGAATCAGAACATCTTTAGAGGCCCACCTTGAGACAACTCCAGCGTCAGTTCACACTTTTGTTTTTCCTTTTGTGGTTCCAGTGATCAAACTAGGGCATTGTGCAGGTTAGGAAAGCACTCTTACCACTAAGCTATCTCCTTAGCCCCTCAGTTTACACTTTTATCTTTGGTTTTTAGTTTCCTCTTTATATTTAACCTCTGGGGATTTCCTTTACTTTCTTGCAAGCTCAGCTGTATATTTAAAAATAAATTTGTCATTTTAAAAAATATTTTATTTTTTAGTTATAGTTGGACACAATACCTTTATTTTATTTATTTATTTATTTTTCATCTTTAAGGTGTGCACTTTTATTGAACTGGTCTCAAGTCAGTGTACAGGTAAGCCCTGGCTGCCTCCACACCTTAGCCCACTCCCAGGGAGACGAAAAGCCTTCATACATCTCAAGTTGGGGGACAAAAAGGGGGCCACGATGGCTGACCATTCAAAATAAAACAAAATAAAAAAGTATTAAGGCTAAGATTAAAAAAATTTGCATTACATAATTTACACAAAAGCAATGCTGTCACCTCCCCTGTATGGACTCGCGTGAGGACTGGGCCATCCTCCAGGAGGAGGAGTGGGGCGGCTTTTGGGAGGGCGAGGGACTTCCTGTAACAATGCATCTCACTATATTTGAAATGACTATTAAAAAAAAGAACAATGTACAATCAAAGTCCTCGGCCATATTGTAGAACTTTGGGGATGCTCGCTCCAACCGACTGCTGTCACCTTCACCGTTCCAGTTTTTAAATCCTGAGTCAAAAGCGCCAAAACAAAAAGGAAAAAAAAAAACAAACAAACAAATAAAGCCATGCCAATCTCATCTCGTTTTCTGCGCAAAGTTAGGTTTTGTCAAGAAAGGGTGTAACGCAGCTAAGTAACAGTCCGCCTAGAAGCATTTACGGTGGACAATGGAGGGGCCAGATTCGTCGTACTCCTGCTTGCTGATCCACATCTGCTGGAAGGTAGACAGAGAGACCAGGATGGAGCCGCCAATCCACACAGAGTACTTGCGCTCAGGGGGAGCAATGATCTTGATCTTCATTGTGCTGGGTGCCAGGGCTGTGATCTCCTTCTGCATCCTGTCAGCAATGCCTGGGTACATGGTGATGCCACCAGACAGCACTGTGTTGGCATAGAGGTCCTTGCGAATGTCAACGTCACACTTCATGATGGAATTGAAAGTAGTTTCATGGATGCCACAGGATTCCATGCCCAGGAAAGAAGGCTGGAAGAGTGCCTCAGGGCAGCGGAATCGCTCATTGCCAATGGTGATCACCTGACCATCAGGCAGCTCGTAGCTCTTCTCCAGGGAGGAGCTAGAGGCTGCAGTGGCCATCTCCTGCTCGAAGTCCAGGGCAACGTAGCACAGCTTCTCCTTGATGTCACGCACGATTTCCCGCTCGGCTGTGGTGGTGAAACTGTAGCCACGCTCAGTCAGGATCTTCATGAGGTAGTCTGTCAGGTCCCGGCCAGCCAGGTCCAGACGCAGGATGGCGTGGGGAAGGGCATACCCCTCGTAGATGGGCACTGTGTGGGTGACCCCATCACCGGAGTCCATCACAATGCCAGTGGTACGGCCAGAGGCATACAGGGACAGCACAGCCTGGATGGCCACATACATGGCTGGGGTGTTGAAGGTCTCAAACATGATCTGGGTCATCTTCTCACGGTTGGCCTTAGGGTTCAGGGGAGCCTCGGTCAGCAGCACAGGGTGCTCCTCAGGAGCCACACGCAGCTCGTTGTAGAAGGTGTGGTGCCAAATCTTCTCCATGTCGTCCCAGTTGGTGACGATGCCATGCTCAATGGGGTACTTCAGGGTCAGGATGCCTCTCTTGCTCTGGGCCTCGTCACCCACATAGGAATCCTTCTGACCCATGCCCACCATCACACCCTGGTGCCGCGGGCGCCCCACGATGGAGGGAAAGACGGCCCGGGGAGCATCGTCGCCCGCGAAGCCGGCCTTGCACATGCCGGAGCCGTTGTCAACAACGAGCGCAGCGATATCGTCATCCAAGGCGAGCTGGGTGGCGGGTGTGGACGGGTGGCGGGTGTGGACGGGTGGCGGGTGTGGACTGGCAGCGGTGGAGCGGCGAGGAGACTGTACTCGCAGGATGGACGCGGTCTCGGCAGTGTTTATTTTATTTATTTATTTTTATGTGGGGCTTAGGATCGAACCCAGGGTCGTGCACATGCTAGGCAAGTGCTCTACCACTGAGCCACAACCCCAGCCCATGTCAGGATTTATCCAGTGTTTTTTCATTGTGTTTTGTTGCAGATTTTCCAGATAAAGATTGCCATTTTGGTAGTAATGGAAGTCTGTGCTCCTCTAAGTGAAATGGGAATTAATAGTGGACATTATAAGAGTAAGGTTTGGAGATAATATTCATGAAATGCTGAACACAGTGCCTAGGCCACAATTAGTGCCCAATACAGGTGGTTGTTATGGAGTGGGTGACTACAGTGTCAAAGCATAGTGCTCTGCAGAATTTAAAACTGGGGAGAATGCACTCTGCACATTACAAAAATGGGTTGAACAAAGGTTTTGTTATTTTTTTCAGACTTTCTGTAGGACTTCTATCAAGTTCTTTTTCAAGAACTTATAATTTTTGATGTTTGTGGTTGTGAATTATAATTTCTTTCTTTCATGAGACATTATTCACTTTTTGTGAGGAAGAAATCATATATAAAATGGTATAATTATCTAAGAATGACTATTGTGTAAAGGGACTATGTACTAGACAGGAGGTTAGGAGAGTTCATCCATACCTTTGTTAATAATCACTGTTGAAGAAACTGAGACATAAAAGCAACAGTCCCTCCCCCCCCCCAAAGGAGTTGGTGATCTGGTATAAATATTAGACATATACATACTTGCAAAAAACCCCTAGATTATCAGATAATATGTGCTTTTAAAAAGTAAATATCATAAATAATAAGTACCATGGAAGGTTAGAAGAGGACAAGCACTTTTGGTTGAAATAGGAAAGACTATACAGCCTATGTGAGATGATAATTATCCTTTACAGCTGAGTAGAATCAGATAGGTGGAGAATGAAGGGAGGAGGAGGAGGAGG